GTTCACATGGAAGGCCTCAGGGAGGAGGCACCAGTATTGCTTGACGGAATGGAGAAATGTCTTGCCCTGGGTACGATCCCCGTCGAACGCGAATGGGGGGTTGGGGCGGATAAGGGGTCTCGTGCTGGCCTGTTGGCCAATAGATACACCTGGACCCACTGCCGGAGACGGAGCAGGGGCAGGGGCAGGGGGGGGCTGTTGCTGTGTAATTATGAGGTTGTGGAGGAGGCCTTCCATCCGTTGCATGGCTTCCTCTAGATTCGCAAGCCTCTGTTGGGGGTGGGAGGGGTCGTCCTCTTCTTCCATTTGGGACATGATGATCGTAGAGGGGGAGGAGGGGGCAAGGTTGGAAGTGAGAAGCGGATGACGCTGTCAGCGGTCTTCACAAGCTTGTCCAGTTATCCCTAGGAACTCGGTTTCTGCTGTAAGGGCAACCTCGAGGCCCGATCTCAGAGTCCTGACAAGGGAGAGTCCAAAGCGTCAGATAAGGGGATCGACTAGTACAGGAGACTGGCAAACCTGACAAGGGAGAGTCCAAAGAGAAACCGAGTTGGGGACTCTCCTTGTCAGGGCCCACTATATATAGCCTACAGAACAATGGATGACCAAGCACAATGGAAGCGCCAGACAATGGGGCCAGGGAACAATGAGGGGCCGGATCGGGGGAAACAATGGGAGCCGGACCGTCGGAACAATGGGGGTCCGGGCCGGAGTGTCATGTGGGTGCGCTTGGCAGGGGAGTCCGGACCGAAGCATGTGACGCTTGACAGATGGCACGTGCTCGGTCACATGCGAGATCCCATGACGATCGGACGAAAGCAGGGGTTCCCCTGACATGGCCATGGCCATAGAATGTCACATAATTATCCTTCAATTTGGCAGGGGTTTCTTGGTATGATCTGCAGCTAAAGGTATTTGATTCCCTTGTACTTTAGCAGAGCCTGGGATATTGAAAACATGCAACAGCACCTGTATAATCTGTCTATGTAGGGTCAAATACAAGTTATGACTTGGTACATTTGGGCATGGTCTGCTAAAGCTATTAGGTTGAATTTAATGTTTGAAAAATGCGCAACTTGATTTGTTTGGCAAATCCCCCAAGGGAGTTTTCTATGTGCAGCCAAATTGATCACCAGGAATAGCTACTGCTCCTTGTCCCTGTCTGTTTGCTTCAGATAGTCTGTCTGCTCCCAAATCTTCCTCTCCATTTTCAGGATATCTGATACAGGTGTTTGGATTGTTGATTGATGGATTTCATATTCCTTGTCTACACACCATTTAGACACTTTAATGGATGTGATAATACTGTGAACACTAACAATGGATTAAGCAGCACTTTTGTCTATCCAATCCTTGCAGGGGCTGGGGCAGGGTTGATGGTGGGGGCTGCCGCGGGGGCTGCCACGGGGGGTGCCGCGGGGGGTGCCCAAGCCTCTGCCAGCCTACCCAATGTGGATCAACTACAGGATCACTTTCCAAAGCTTCTGTACTGCAACCCAAGTGACTTCCAGGTTACCTTTACCTAATTCCAGTGACACAACTTGCCTGCTCTTGTTTCTGGCCGACAATTGATTTTATAAGCTTGAGTGTGTATGTGCACTTTTTGGTGGGAAAGGAGGCCATTTGGTGAGGGGTAGGGCACCGAAACATTGTCAAATACCATATTGAACATGACCAGTGGCTTACATCTCTTCAAACTGGCCCCTATCTCATGTTTATCAAGACCCTATTTTTCGGACCCATTTCAAGTTTTTGAATGGTTCCAGGGTCCAGGGCTCTCAGAATTTGTTTCAGACACTGCCAAGGGGTATATCATTCAGCTGTATTGAGTTGTTCATTTGTAGAAAATATATTTTTTGCAATACCCAAAGTGAACTATGTTGAACCATTATCTATATAGGAACCTTGAGCAACTGTGAACTGTTTTCATGTTTCGAATTTTGGATGGACAAACAATATGAAATACCTACATATTCAACAAGAACAGCATAGGGAGACCTTATTCCGATGGTTTTCAGCTGCATAACTGTAGAAACAGTGTTGGAAGAGCAGGAAACACTTAGGTACGACGTTTATACAGGTTCTGATTGGCTGGTGACTTGACGTGTTCCGAGCTGTCAGATTATGTAATCTTACATATGAGAAGATGGCAGGGGCAAGGCACCGGTGCAGCGGGGGGTGTGGCAGGGGGTGTCAGTCTGGCGGGGGTGCATGCGGGGGTGCAGTGGGGGGTGCCAGTTTGGCGGGGGGTGCCTGCAGGGGTGCCAGTGGGGGTGCAGGTAGAGTTGCAGGCAGTGAGTTATGGCAAGAATGTATGCAGTCCCAGTAGCAAAAGCAATCATGTATGTTTCTGCAGTTTGTCTTGCGAGTATCCAAGCTCTAAGTGGAAAGAATTTTGTATATGAAATCTGAATTGATGCTCAATCTCTGGCTATTGTGAGACAACTTATTAGTGAGTTAGTTCATCCTCTTATATATGACCCAGGAATGAATTGAGGGCATGTCAAATCCGCTATGTTCCATCTGTTCATGTTGCAGCTTGAGAAAATCATTTGCAAAGCATCACAGAACTTCTGATTTTCAATGAGTCCCAGTCAGGAAGTGAGACATTCAATGTGTACTTGACATGTGGTACAATGTGCCACAGGGTAAGATTACACTGTGCTAACAGTGTGAACAATTTACTAATAGCCATGTATGTAGAATGAGCGCACCAAAAAATCAATGAGATGACAGTGGACCCAGTGCAGCCAACCTACCCACCCTGCCGGTCAACACATGAACAAATCATAACTTGTATTTGACCCTACATAGACAGATTATACAGGTGCTGTTGCATGTTTTCAATATCCCAGGCTCTGCTAAAGTACAAGGGAATCAAATACCTTTAGCTGCAGATCATACCAAGAAACCCCTGCCAAATTGAAGGATAATTATGTGACATTCTATGGCCATGGCCAGAATAGATACATCGAAATTTGATATAATGCACCCCTGCCCCTGCAGTAGACCTTGCAGTGGGCCCCGCATCTGACCCCTGCATCAATTTCAATGTCTTCCTATAAATTCCCAGTTGGCCTGTTGCCCTGCTCACCTCTACAAGATCTTCAATGAACAAAAATGGATCATAACAGACCAACCCTGGGGCAGCCCCTGCAGCACCCCCCCGCGGCACCCCCCGCGGCACCCCCCGCGGCACCCCCCGCAGCACCCCCCGCGGCAGCCCCTGCGGCAGGCCCTGCCAAATGATGGGATCAAGTGTGTCACCAATCCCATTGTGCAGGGTGCATTTTGGTTTTTCTAAGCTCAAGTTCATGTTTAACTAGCCTATTTACCTATGGAAATTATACTGGGATGATTTGGGGAGTCTTCCATTTTTTTGGCGGAAAATCACGTGATTTTGCGCCCATTGTCTGCCACAGCATGCAATGTATCAAGCAGCATTTCCAAAATCATGCCAAATGCTGCAAAAAAGGCACCCAAAAAGTCACGTGATAATGCGCCCACTGCCCGCCATGGTGTGCGGGGGGGTGGTAGTGACCCCGCCAATGACGCCGCCAACCCCTGCCAGCATTTTGGTAATATTTTGTGCAGCGCATCACGTGATTTTTTTATCCCGCCATCCCGCCCATGCAGCGCGTCATGTGATTGGATTTTTTTTTCCCGCCCAGCTACCCGCTCTTATCGACAAGTCACATGCTACATACACCCCCCCTCCTCCTGACCCCCGCATATGCCCCCGCTACTAAATCGACTAAATGGCCCCCCCACCCCCTGCCAGGGGGTACCTACTGGGTACCCTCAGCAAGACGTCTGAGGGTACCCAGTAGGTACCCCGCGGGGGGAGAACCGCGTGATGGCGGTGGTAACTGAGGTGGTCAAAGGCAGGGTGGGCAAGGTAGGTCAAGTCGTCAAATGACATGGCAACTGGGTGATGACGCAGTCGTTAACCCTGGGTCGCAAGTCAGGACTTATTTAGTGGGTGGGTGGGTGGCTGCACGATGGCTAGCCTTGAATATGGGTGTGGCGAGTGCTCACTATCCCGGAGAGGATTGTGCCCTTGATCCACGGAAGTATAACCGCTTATCAAAAGGTACACGTCTACAGCCTAGATTGAAGATTGAAAAAAAGTGGAAACTCACCTGGTTAGGACCAGGTGAGAACACTAAAGGAGAAAAGAGGTCATCAAGACGAAAATCAATCTGGATCAAGCTGTATTGGCAAGCGATACGTATCGTAGAGGAGAAGGTAGAGAGAGAGAATATATGCGGTCGTGATCAGTGATGTACGTAAGCAAGCAGGCTGCTTGCAGCGTGGCTCTTGACATCAGTGATTCTATCTTTGCCAGTGTCACATCATCACTCATCAATTTTTGCTATCAAACATCAAATTCGATATCACAGCCACGACTTCTCCTCCTTGTCTACGTAATGTATGCAAGCAAGTCACTCACTTGCATGTGTTCCGGGGCTTCCTTCCAATCTCCAAAAAATCATTCTCAGTAGACGATCAATCTACTGTTGGAGTGCACCGCGAGGATCAACTCGGGCATCCCCCAGATACACTGGCAGAAACCTGGAGGAAGCGATTTCCAGTCTTGTCTTGGAATCGGATCACACGCATGGGCCAGATAAGGACCATTACGTCAACGAAGTTCAATGACAATTGACCAGCCCGCACACCGAATCAAGCGGGAGGCCCGGCAGAAATCCCTGTCACAGTCCGTCATCGTATTTGATTGGGCTTCACACTCAAACTCAAGTCCGTTGCTATCAAGCCCTCGGAATCAAGGAGCGATACTTACTTCCCTTCGCTTAAAATAACACCTGTGACTATTTTGGGCACCGTGGGCCGCCCTACCGTAGAAAATGATAGACAGCTCGAATCTGGTCCTTCGAGAACACACGAGCGAGAAGATGCACATTGCGCCGACCTTCCGCCGTCCCGAAAGCTTCCTGGCGTGCTCTATCCCTTCCCTCTAATCCACCTCACCCCCGGCGATGTCGCTACACAAAGAGTCAGAGTCGAACGGGCACACGAGTCCCTCTGCTGGATCGCCGAATGGACTGAGCAGTGGCAACGATGGAACGAAGCGGAATCTGCGGGTGAGCCATGCATTCAGTCGCCTCTCGAGCGCCGGGTCTCTTACGACACGAGTGAAGCCCCGACATATACAACTCATCTCCATGGGCGGGGCGGTCGGCACGATCATGTTTGTGCAGATCGGGTCCGCGTTATCGATCGGCGGACCCGGGAGCCTCTTCGTAGCGTTTCTGCTCTGGTCGACGGTCCTGCTGGCGGTCAACACCTGCCTCGGTATGTCGCGGCTCGTTCCTCGTCAGAGCCGCGTCTCCGAAATGACGCTGACTTGCTCTGCAGCGGAGATGGTCTGCTGGCTCCCGATCTCCTCCCCGTTCGTACGTGTCTCTATACACTTTCCCCGCTCTCTGCAGTAATCGTCCCGCCCAGGTCCGTTTCGCCGACCGTTTCGTAGACGAGGCCCTCGGCGTCGTGAGCGGGCTGAACTTCTTCATCTATATTGCTATCGGCATTCCTTTCGAGATGACGGCTGCGAACCTCATGCTTCAGTTCTGGACAGATAGAATCCCAGTGGCCGCTGTCATAGTGTTTATGATTGTCGCATATGCGTACGCCGCTGTCCCTCTCGAAACCAAACCAGACCTCGCAGAAGCTGACTTGGGTCGTCAGGGCCTTCAACGTATTCGCTGTGCGGCTTTATGGCGGTAGGAGCATTCCATGCATGGCAGAAGGCTGTGCAGCTCAGGGTTACACTCAGAGGTGGAGTTCTGGCTGGCGATTGGGAAGATCGTCCTGGCTGTGGGACTTTTGCTGTTCACACTGGTGGTTGCCCTGGGTGGGAATCCTGAACACGATCGATTTGGATTCAGAAATTGGGATAGTGAGTTTTAGCAAAACCTTTTGATCTCGTTCTGGTCCCAATCACAAACAGGCTCGAAAGTCTCGGTATAACGAATCCATTCAGCACTCTCTACTGTTTAGTGACCATTTTCAGGGCGCGCCATTTGTCCCGTACGTGTTTCCTGGCGCCACCGGTCGCTTCATCGGGTTTCTGAGCTGTCTTGTGGAAGCTGCGTTTACCATGCAGGGTACGTATGAAGGCGGAGTCCTTGGCCCCTAGATAAAAGAGACTCAAGTTCGGAGCCAGGACCCGAGTACATTGCAATGACCGCCGGAGAAGCCGCGCAACCCCGTCGCACGATGTATCGCAGCTTCTCCTCCATCACATTCCGCCTGGTCGTCTTCTTCGTTTTCGGCACACTGTCCGTCGGGGTCCTCGTTCCGCACTCCGACCCTGCCCTACTCGGCGCCTCCGGACACGTCAAACGGGGTTCGGGAACGTCGCCGTACGTCATCGCGATGACGCGCCTGCGCATTCCCGTTTTGCCGCATGTGGTGAACGCGCTCGTTCTGCTGTCCATATTCTCCGCAGGGAACAGCTACGTATATACGGCAAGTAGAACGCTGTATGGGATGGCGCTGGAAGGACAAGTGCCCCGTGTTTTTGCGCGCTGCAGCAAGAGAGGTGTCCCGATCTATGCGGTGGGGGCTTCGATGTTGTTTTCTTCGCTGGCGTTCCTGCAGCTGAATAGAGAAAGCGCTGTCATCTTGCAGTGGTCTGGTGGTTTGATCCACGCATCTTACTCAAGTACTGAGCTATGTTTAATCAGGATCTCTCTCATTGCCACCGTTGGCCTGATGATCAACTATGCCCTAATCTCGCTCACATATCTGCGTTTCAGAGCCGTACGTTTCTCTGGCACATATATAACTCCCTTCTCTGAAATTTACCACAGGCCCTCGCTGAACAAAATGTGCCTCGCTCAACTCTGCCGTGGGTCGGTCGACTGCAGCCATTCTGCGGGTTCGCATCAACTTCTTTCTGTCAACGAACGAAACTCATACTTTCCGATCAGCTATTATGCCCTCATTACATGCACAACAATGATATTTCTCTCTGGATACGCCGTCTTCCTCCCCGGTCACTGGAGCGTCACCACATTCGTTTTTTCTTACGTCTTGATTTTGATCTTACCTTTGGTCTTTCTCACGTGGAAATTTACTAAACGGACCAAGGCTAGTGTTTCTTCGTGTCTTCCATCTCATTTGTCTGACTGACGTGCAATTTAGTTGCGAAAGGTGTCCGAGATCGATTTATTCAAACGCGAGAGAGGGACCATGGATGATCGGGATTGCATTTAATCATGCGACAAATGTATAATTGTTTTTACTTTTCTAGGCTATTAGCCAGTAGGGACGATCGCTGTCCGAGTACAACGAGTATAGGCTTTTCTGTCCGTGCGTACAACAGGTGGCGGATCCATCAGATTAGATGCCATCGATAACATCACGAGTCCCATCCTATCTTATCACAATCGTTGAACGTCCTCGGTCGCATCGCGGCCTACACATATCGCGCCGACCTCTTTTCGCACTGTAAACCCGAAAGGCCTAGTTATGTCGCAGATTCAGAGGGGAATCAGTCCCCGATCAGACTCTCTTGATCGTCCAGACTGGGTCAAGAGGCTCTCGATTTGTCGGACATCCTTTACCCCAGGTTCTGCATTGCAATACCCTCGGTGCATAATTGTCGCAGTGTGTTTTCATGTATCTTGGGAGCCGGACCGTCGGAACAATGGGGGTCCGGGCCGGAGTGTCATGTGGGTGCGCTTGGCAGGGGAGTCCGGACCGAAGCATGTGACGCTTGACAGATGGCACGTGCTCGGTCACATGCGAGATCCCATGACGATCGGACGAAAGCAGGGGTTCCCCTGACATGGCCATGGCCATAGAATGTCACATAATTATCCTTCAATTTGGCAGGGGTTTCTTGGTATGATCTGCAGCTAAAGGTATTTGATTCCCTTGTACTTTAGCAGAGCCTGGGATATTGAAAACATGCAACAGCACCTGTATAATCTGTCTATGTAGGGTCAAATACAAGTTATGACTTGGTACATTTGGGCATGGTCTGCTAAAGCTATTAGGTTGAATTTAATGTTTGAAAAATGCGCAACTTGATTTGTTTGGCAAATCCCCCAAGGGAGTTTTCTATGTGCAGCCAAATTGATCACCAGGAATAGCTACTGCTCCTTGTCCCTGTCTGTTTGCTTCAGATAGTCTGTCTGCTCCCAAATCTTCCTCTCCATTTTCAGGATATCTGATACAGGTGTTTGGATTGTTGATTGATGGATTTCATATTCCTTGTCTACACACCATTTAGACACTTTAATGGATGTGATAATACTGTGAACACTAACAATGGATTAAGCAGCACTTTTGTCTATCCAATCCTTGCAGGGGCTGGGGCAGGGTTGATGGTGGGGGCTGCCGCGGGGGCTGCCACGGGGGGTGCCGCGGGGGGTGCCCAAGCCTCTGCCAGCCTACCCAATGTGGATCAACTACAGGATCACTTTCCAAAGCTTCTGTACTGCAACCCAAGTGACTTCCAGGTTACCTTTACCTAATTCCAGTGACACAACTTGCCTGCTCTTGTTTCTGGCCGACAATTGATTTTATAAGCTTGAGTGTGTATGTGCACTTTTTGGTGGGAAAGGAGGCCATTTGGTGAGGGGTAGGGCACCGAAACATTGTCAAATACCATATTGAACATGACCAGTGGCTTACATCTCTTCAAACTGGCCCCTATCTCATGTTTATCAAGACCCTATTTTTCGGACCCATTTCAAGTTTTTGAATGGTTCCAGGGTCCAGGGCTCTCAGAATTTGTTTCAGACACTGCCAAGGGGTATATCATTCAGCTGTATTGAGTTGTTCATTTGTAGAAAATATATTTTTTGCAATACCCAAAGTGAACTATGTTGAACCGTTATCTATATAGGAACCTTGAGCAACTGTGAACTGTTTTCATGTTTCGAATTTTGGATGGACAAACAATATGAAATACCTACATATTCAACAAGAACAGCATAGGGAGACCTTATTCCGATGGTTTTCAGCTGCATAACTGTAGAAACAGTGTTGGAAGAGCAGGAAACACTTAGGTACGACGTTTATACAGGTTCTGATTGGCTGGTGACTTGACGTGTTCCGAGCTGTCAGATTATGTAATCTTACATATGAGAAGATGGCAGGGGCAAGGCACCGGTGCAGCGGGGGGTGTGGCAGGGGGTGTCAGTCTGGCGGGGGTGCATGCGGGGGTGCAGTGGGGGGTGCCAGTTTGGCGGGGGGTGCCTGCAGGGGTGCCAGTGGGGGTGCAGGTAGAGTTGCAGGCAGTGAGTTATGGCAAGAATGTATGCAGTCCCAGTAGCAAAAGCAATCATGTATGTTTCTGCAGTTTGTCTTGCGAGTATCCAAGCTCTAAGTGGAAAGAATTTTGTATATGAAATCTGAATTGATGCTCAATCTCTGGCTATTGTGAGACAACTTATTAGTGAGTTAGTTCATCCTCTTATATATGACCCAGGAATGAATTGAGGGCATGTCAAATCCGCTATGTTCCATCTGTTCATGTTGCAGCTTGAGAAAATCATTTGCAAAGCATCACAGAACTTCTGATTTTCAATGAGTCCCAGTCAGGAAGTGAGACATTCAATGTGTACTTGACATGTGGTACAATGTGCCACAGGGTAAGATTACACTGTGCTAACAGTGTGAACAATTTACTAATAGCCATGTATGTAGAATGAGCGCACCAAAAAATCAATGAGATGACAGTGGACCCAGTGCAGCCAACCTACCCACCCTGCCGGTCAACACATGAACAAATCATAACTTGTATTTGACCCTACATAGACAGATTATACAGGTGCTGTTGCATGTTTTCAATATCCCAGGCTCTGCTAAAGTACAAGGGAATCAAATACCTTTAGCTGCAGATCATACCAAGAAACCCCTGCCAAATTGAAGGATAATTATGTGACATTCTATGGCCATGGCCAGAATAGATACATCGAAATTTGATATAATGCACCCCTGCCCCTGCAGTAGACCTTGCAGTGGGCCCCGCATCTGACCCCTGCATCAATTTCAATGTCTTCCTATAAATTCCCAGTTGGCCTGTTGCCCTGCTCACCTCTACAAGATCTTCAATGAACAAAAATGGATCATAACAGACCAACCCTGGGGCAGCCCCTGCAGCACCCCCCCGCGGCACCCCCCGCGGCACCCCCCGCGGCACCCCCCGCAGCACCCCCCGCGGCAGCCCCTGCGGCAGGCCCTGCCAAATGATGGGATCAAGTGTGTCACCAATCCCATTGTGCAGGGTGCATTTTGGTTTTTCTAAGCTCAAGTTCATGTTTAACTAGCCTATTTACCTATGGAAATTATACTGGGATGATTTGGGGAGTCTTCCATTTTTTTGGCGGAAAATCACGTGATTTTGCGCCCATTGTCTGCCACAGCATGCAATGTATCAAGCAGCATTTCCAAAATCATGCCAAATGCTGCAAAAAAGGCACCCAAAAAGTCACGTGATAATGCGCCCACTGCCCGCCATGGTGTGCGGGGGGGTGGTAGTGACCCCGCCAATGACGCCGCCAACCCCTGCCAGCATTTTGGTAATATTTTGTGCAGCGCATCACGTGATTTTTTTATCCCGCCATCCCGCCCATGCAGCGCGTCATGTGATTGGATTTTTTTTTCCCGCCCAGCTACCCGCTCTTATCGACAAGTCACATGCTACATACACCCCCCCTCCTCCTGACCCCCGCATATGCCCCCGCTACTAAATCGACTAAATGGCCCCCCCACCCCCTGCCAGGGGGTACCTACTGGGTACCCTCAGCAAGACGTCTGAGGGTACCCAGTAGGTACCCCGCGGGGGGAGAACCGCGTGATGGCGGTGGTAACTGAGGTGGTCAAAGGCAGGGTGGGCAAGGTAGGTCAAGTCGTCAAATGACATGGCAACTGGGTGATGACGCAGTCGTTAACCCTGGGTCGCAAGTCAGGACTTATTTAGTGGGTGGGTGGGTGGCTGCACGATGGCTAGCCTTGAATATGGGTGTGGCGAGTGCTCACTATCCCGGAGAGGATTGTGCCCTTGATCCACGGAAGTATAACCGCTTATCAAAAGGTACACGTCTACAGCCTAGATTGAAGATTGAAAAAAAGTGGAAACTCACCTGGTTAGGACCAGGTGAGAACACTAAAGGAGAAAAGAGGTCATCAAGACGAAAATCAATCTGGATCAAGCTGTATTGGCAAGCGATACGTATCGTAGAGGAGAAGGTAGAGAGAGAGAATATATGCGGTCGTGATCAGTGATGTACGTAAGCAAGCAGGCTGCTTGCAGCGTGGCTCTTGACATCAGTGATTCTATCTTTGCCAGTGTCACATCATCACTCATCAATTTTTGCTATCAAACATCAAATTCGATATCACAGCCACGACTTCTCCTCCTTGTCTACGTAATGTATGCAAGCAAGTCACTCACTTGCATGTGTTCCGGGGCTTCCTTCCAATCTCCAAAAAATCATTCTCAGTAGACGATCAATCTACTGTTGGAGTGCACCGCGAGGATCAACTCGGGCATCCCCCAGATACACTGGCAGAAACCTGGAGGAAGCGATTTCCAGTCTTGTCTTGGAATCGGATCACACGCATGGGCCAGATAAGGACCATTACGTCAACGAAGTTCAATGACAATTGACCAGCCCGCACACCGAATCAAGCGGGAGGCCCGGCAGAAATCCCTGTCACAGTCCGTCATCGTATTTGATTGGGCTTCACACTCAAACTCAAGTCCGTTGCTATCAAGCCCTCGGAATCAAGGAGCGATACTTACTTCCCTTCGCTTAAAATAACACCTGTGACTATTTTGGGCACCGTGGGCCGCCCTACCGTAGAAAATGATAGACAGCTCGAATCTGGTCCTTCGAGAACACACGAGCGAGAAGATGCACATTGCGCCGACCTTCCGCCGTCCCGAAAGCTTCCTGGCGTGCTCTATCCCTTCCCTCTAATCCACCTCACCCCCGGCGATGTCGCTACACAAAGAGTCAGAGTCGAACGGGCACACGAGTCCCTCTGCTGGATCGCCGAATGGACTGAGCAGTGGCAACGATGGAACGAAGCGGAATCTGCGGGTGAGCCATGCATTCAGTCGCCTCTCGAGCGCCGGGTCTCTTACGACACGAGTGAAGCCCCGACATATACAACTCATCTCCATGGGCGGGGCGGTCGGCACGATCATGTTTGTGCAGATCGGGTCCGCGTTATCGATCGGCGGACCCGGGAGCCTCTTCGTAGCGTTTCTGCTCTGGTCGACGGTCCTGCTGGCGGTCAACACCTGCCTCGGTATGTCGCGGCTCGTTCCTCGTCAGAGCCGCGTCTCCGAAATGACGCTGACTTGCTCTGCAGCGGAGATGGTCTGCTGGCTCCCGATCTCCTCCCCGTTCGTACGTGTCTCTATACACTTTCCCCGCTCTCTGCAGTAATCGTCCCGCCCAGGTCCGTTTCGCCGACCGTTTCGTAGACGAGGCCCTCGGCGTCGTGAGCGGGCTGAACTTCTTCATCTATATTGCTATCGGCATTCCTTTCGAGATGACGGCTGCGAACCTCATGCTTCAGTTCTGGACAGATAGAATCCCAGTGGCCGCTGTCATAGTGTTTATGATTGTCGCATATGCGTACGCCGCTGTCCCTCTCGAAACCAAACCAGACCTCGCAGAAGCTGACTTGGGTCGTCAGGGCCTTCAACGTATTCGCTGTGCGGCTTTATGGCGGTAGGAGCATTCCATGCATGGCAGAAGGCTGTGCAGCTCAGGGTTACACTCAGAGGTGGAGTTCTGGCTGGCGATTGGGAAGATCGTCCTGGCTGTGGGACTTTTGCTGTTCACACTGGTGGTTGCCCTGGGTGGGAATCCTGAACACGATCGATTTGGATTCAGAAATTGGGATAGTGAGTTTTAGCAAAACCTTTTGATCTCGTTCTGGTCCCAATCACAAACAGGCTCGAAAGTCTCGGTATAACGAATCCATTCAGCACTCTCTACTGTTTAGTGACCATTTTCAGGGCGCGCCATTTGTCCCGTACGTGTTTCCTGGCGCCACCGGTCGCTTCATCGGGTTTCTGAGCTGTCTTGTGGAAGCTGCGTTTACCATGCAGGGTACGTATGAAGGCGGAGTCCTTGGCCCCTAGATAAAAGAGACTCAAGTTCGGAGCCAGGACCCGAGTACATTGCAATGACCGCCGGAGAAGCCGCGCAACCCCGTCGCACGATGTATCGCAGCTTCTCCTCCATCACATTCCGCCTGGTCGTCTTCTTCGTTTTCGGCACACTGTCCGTCGGGGTCCTCGTTCCGCACTCCGACCCTGCCCTACTCGGCGCCTCCGGACACGTCAAACGGGGTTCGGGAACGTCGCCGTACGTCATCGCGATGACGCGCCTGCGCATTCCCGTTTTGCCGCATGTGGTGAACGCGCTCGTTCTGCTGTCCATATTCTCCGCAGGGAACAGCTACGTATATACGGCAAGTAGAACGCTGTATGGGATGGCGCTGGAAGGACAAGTGCCCCGTGTTTTTGCGCGCTGCAGCAAGAGAGGTGTCCCGATCTATGCGGTGGGGGCTTCGATGTTGTTTTCTTCGCTGGCGTTCCTGCAGCTGAATAGAGAAAGCGCTGTCATCTTGCAGTGGTCTGGTGGTTTGATCCACGCATCTTACTCAAGTACTGAGCTATGTTTAATCAGGATCTCTCTCATTGCCACCGTTGGCCTGATGATCAACTATGCCCTAATCTCGCTCACATATCTGCGTTTCAGAGCCGTACGTTTCTCTGGCACATATATAACTCCCTTCTCTGAAATTTACCACAGGCCCTCGCTGAACAAAATGTGCCTCGCTCAACTCTGCCGTGGGTCGGTCGACTGCAGCCATTCTGCGGGTTCGCATCAACTTCTTTCTGTCAACGAACGAAACTCATACTTTCCGATCAGCTATTATGCCCTCATTACATGCACAACAATGATATTTCTCTCTGGATACGCCGTCTTCCTCCCCGGTCACTGGAGCGTCACCACATTCGTTTTTTCTTACGTCTTGATTTTGATCTTACCTTTGGTCTTTCTCACGTGGAAATTTACTAAACGGACCAAGGCTAGTGTTTCTTCGTGTCTTCCATCTCATTTGTCTGACTGACGTGCAATTTAGTTGCGAAAGGTGTCCGAGATCGATTTATTCAAACGCGAGAGAGGGACCATGGATGATCGGGATTGCATTTAATCATGCGACAAATGTATAATTGTTTTTACTTTTCTAGGCTATTAGCCAGTAGGGACGATCGCTGTCCGAGTACAACGAGTATAGGCTTTTCTGTCCGTGCGTACAACAGGTGGCGGATCCATCAGATTAGATGCCATCGATAACATCACGAGTCCCATCCTATCTTATCACAATCGTTGAACGTCCTCGGTCGCATCGCGGCCTACACATATCGCGCCGACCTCTTTTCGCACTGTAAACCCGAAAGGCCTAGTTATGTCGCAGATTCAGAGGGGAATCAGTCCCCGATCAGACTCTCTTGATCGTCCAGACTGGGTCAAGAGGCTCTCGATTTGTCGGACATCCTTTACCCCAGGTTCTGCATTGCAATACCCTCGGTGCATAATTGTCGCAGTGTGTTTTCATGTATCTTGTTCGCCGACGGGAGCACGATTCTCCAAGCCCGTGGGCTCTCATTGACACCCAACTAACAAGTCTAATCCATGGCGCACATTGATCCGACGCTCAAGTCAGCCGAACCATGGGCGAAAAATAATTCAGTAGTCTTTCAGCGTTCTGAACTGATACAATTGGATTTGCTCCGAATATGCAGCATCTCCAACACCACTCTTGTTCCAGCTCTCTGACTCTTCCCTAGGCTGTGGCTCCAAACATTGCCCGTTCAAACCCGTCCACCGCGGCCCCAGCGCACGTTCGACGTCCGGTCCTGATCGGGCCGCCAGCCGATACCCCAGAACATCAGTGCCATCCATATCTAGACGCTGGCATTTCGAACGTGCTCAGCAACCTGGCTGCGCCAGTCAATATTTAATCATGCAAGACGCGACTCTCTTTCCGTCCCTCCTTCCAAAGGCACCACACCACGCGGGCCCGCCGCCGCCATGTCCTCAACGACGACCGCCGTCACATCCTCCTTCTTGATGAAGATGGCCCAGCTCACGGACACTGATTGGGACCACATGCGCGAGGGGTCTATCTTCCTGCCGACCTTCGTCTTCCTCTGCGCCGCGTATCTCCTCCTGGGGGCTAGGTTTCCGGCACCGAAGCAGAGCGCCTGGGTGCTCAGCGCCATTGCCAGCGGATGCATGACGGTGGCGTCGCTCCCCTTTGTGTGGGACTACTTCATGCGCGGGGATGGAGGAGTGGGCCAAGTGCGTGATAGAGGAGTGTATGGGGTTGCCGTGAACCGGTTCTTCCAGGTGCGTGTATGCGCTGTGCGCGTAGCGTCTCCACCTCACCACGGGACACTAGGGCTACCTATGCGCCGACTTGCTCATGGGGGCCATATACTATCGCACCCAAGTGAACCTTCTCACGGGCTGGATCCACCATATCGTTTACGTCGGAATCTGTGAGCTCGCAGTGCGGAGGGAGTGGACACACGTTTTTGGGCTGGCCGCGTGCATGGAGGTGCGGTGCTTCTTTTGTTCTAAACCCTCTCTGCCGCCATCCTCCCGGCTTGATGCTGACCGGATCTCTCTCACAGTTCCCCACCTTCCTCCTTGGGGCCGCCACGCTCGACCCGCGCTTGCGGTCCAACGTCGCGTTCGCCGCCGCGTTCTTCATAACCCGCATCTTCTTCCACCTGTGCCTCATCGTGTCCTACGTGCTGCCCCACAACCGCCCCTCCGGCAGCCTCGTCCCGTGCGGCATCCTGATCGCCGTCTTCCCCATGCACGCGATGTGGTTCCACGGCTGCATCCAGGGATTCATCCGACGCGCTAAGCAGGTCGCGAGCAAGGCAGGCACACCACCATCCACGCATCCACTGTCGCCCGACATTCACACCGACGCCCGCGCCTTGGCCCGCCACGCCGCCCCGATGGGCAGCGTGCGCCCCGTCTGGGACGTCACCCTCCGCCTTCGCCGCTTGCGGTCGCGCTTCATCGCCGGCGGCGCGTCGCATGGCGAATGGATCGAGGGTAAGCGAAACGGAAGCTGGGTCGACGGCGTGCGGGACCGTGTCGTCGAGCGCGCGGTGCGCGTGCGCTCGCGGCTGCGTGCGGCGACTGCGACTGGGGAGCGACGCCCGATTCGGCCCCGTGCGCTCGCGATGGGCCGGCGGATGAGTGCTGGCTTGATTGCCGTGCTGCCGTCACTACCCACGAAGGAGTTCGTCCTTGATTATGTTGGGCTGAGTCGCCCGTAGACGCTGAGTACCCGTAGACTCCGTGCCGACAGCACGAATACACATCGCTGATGCCAGGCGCTTTATGATTCACGATCTCCTCCATGCCATTTTGATGTTGTAACGGTAGTCCATGCATTTGTTGTTTGTAGTTTCAATGGGTAGACGGTGTGCGGATAACCTAGAGATGACAGACCGTATAAACACGTACAGCATTGTCATGTAAACAAATACAGCCCGCCATTTTGATACATGCAGCAGGCCGCGTCTTCGCGCAGCGATCTTTCGCTGACTCCTCTCCCCTCCTATAACCACTGCAACCCGTCAAGGCAATCTGGCCGCCATCATCTGCACTGGGGCCAGATTTATAGGGTGTACGTGGAAGAATCGACTGCTACTGAGCAGTCTGAGCCATCCAGCAGGTGTCCCGTTGCCGCTCGCAAGGGCATGCCTGCATCAATGGGCACCCTCCACCGACGCGACGCGACGCTGCATCGGCGTTCAGCGGATCCGGGCTAACGCTGGCCTGCTCAGCGACATTTCGCCGCCGCTCCCTTTTTAATACCTCCAGCGGATTTACGCTGACGCTCCCATTTCGGCACAGTCAGCGAATCCTCGCTACCCATCCCGTTTCGACGCTGTCAGCGAATCCTCGCTGCCTATTCCGTTTCGACGCTGTAGTCAGCGACATTTCGCCGTCGCTCTCATTTCGACATCTTCAGCGCATCCTCGCTGCCCATCCCGTTTCGACGCTGTCAGCGAATCCTCGCTGCCTATTCCGTTTCGACGCTGTAGTCAGCGACATTTCGCCGTCGCTCCCATTTCGGCACAGTCAGCGAATCCTCGCCGTCGCTCCCATTTCGGCACAGTCAGTGAATCCTCGCTGCCCATTCCGTTTCGACGCTGTCGGCGAATCCTCGCCGCCACTCTCATTTCGACATCTTCAGCGAGTCCTCGCTGCCCATCCCGTTTCGACGCTGTCAGCGAATCCTCGCTGCCCGTTCCGTTTCGACGCTGTAGTCAGCGACATTTCGCCGTCGCTCCCATTTCGGCACAGTCAGCGAATCCTCGCTGCCCATTCCGTTTCGACGCTGTCAGCGAATCCTCGCTGCCACTCCCTTTTGGACTCGACGCTGTCAGCGAGGCTCCGCCGCCACTCCCTTTTGGACACCACCAATGGCCTTCATTTTTTCCTGCTGCCGCCGCTGCCGCCATTTCTCTCCTTCGCCGTCTGATGCCATCCAGAATCCTCTCCTATCCCTGGCAACTCAACTCCAGCCGTATCCAGTGCCAAACTACACTGTGGTTCCTGACGTGGAATCGGCCAACATACTTCTCTCCTCGATCGTGGATGGAGTCATTGGATTGGATATTGAAGGTGTCCAGTCCAGTGGTCTCAAGCTGTCGGCTTCAGAGAAGAAACGTCGACTTGCGGCGCAAATTCGCCAGGCGGAGGACGGGAATCATTGTGTTGATTGGAGTGAGGTCACCGTGGCGCTGGTTCAGATAGCCACGCAGGACGGGACGGTTCTAGTTCTCCCTCTCCTCTCTTTCAAAGGTGCGTTCATGTTTTTCTCTTTTCGCCTCTTCATGTCTGATATGGTATCTCTAGAACTGCCTTCCGAACTGGTTCGTATATGTCGAAGCATGGAGATCTTGAAGGTGGCGGCTGGCATTTACAGTGTGTCTGCATTCGCTCTTGCAGTTTAACTTGTATTCTTACTCTTCCTCTAGGTGATGCTCAGCGCCTTTTCGACTCTTTTCGCCTGGATCTTTTCAACTCCGTTTCTTTGGGGTATATGGCGCAGCTTGCATACCCGGAAGAAATCCTCATGGGGAAGCCCTATGCCTCGGAGCCTTCTCTTCAACTCATCGTATCTCATTGCTTGCGCTTCCATTTGGACAAGACATTCCAGGCTTCAGATTGGGAGGGACCGTTGACGACTCAACAACTTGATTGTAAGTTTGACTGAACCTGTGTATGGCATGAAGACTTATGTTCTAAAGATGCTGCAATTGACGCGCACAGCTCCCTGCATGCTTACTTGCACCTCAGAGGAGTTCTCGATCACTGCGGGTTTGCGGTCAACTCAGACTGGTTCTCCTTTGATGTTGTCAATCGCAGGCGGCAGAAGTGCGGAAGCGATGGCAAGAAGTGGATTGCGCACTGTCCCTGGTGGTCTGATAGCATAGATGATAACTACGCATTCATTGCACGTAGAGATTAGACAATACACAGTCGAAATTGCAATCTGTAGCCGTCGCAAGCTGGGTTCGCTGCTCGTGGTATGCCAAGAGGCAATATTTGTTTCGCTGAACCGCTGCCAGACATGCTAGGATCAGTTCCGTAAAGCGCGGATTACTTGAGTTGACAACGCCATCCAAGTCGACCACTCCCTCCTACCCCCGGATACGGCGGATGCGACGCTCAAGCTCCCATTGCTCTTGGATCACAGCGCGGATATCTTTTTTGTTGTACCTCAGAAGAGAGCCAGAACTCTCTGACTTCACTCTCGCAAATGAGCTGTATTCCACGATCCCCATAGCTGGGTACGGTTTGAGTTGGGGTTCCAGGGTGGCGGAAGGTGATAAGGGCGGTACGTGGCAGTAGGAGAGAATGGTTTAGTCTCTCATTTAACTTCAGCGAGAATACGCTGCGAGCATTCAGCAGCCGCAGGCTTCCGCGGAATGTCGCTGATGTCTCTCTCGACTTGTATTGTAAGTTGTTGAAGCTTGTTTGTATTAGCGACTATCACAGTATGTAGACATGACATCATAAGTAGTATTCTTAGATTACTTTGGCTCGCTCCACAATGACCTCATATCTGACCTCATTATTGCGTCATCCATTACTCATCTATGATATCATTACTCCACTATGACATCATGATATCTGCTCCAGACTGGTATATAAACCTAGTACTATACGCTCCATATCCTCAGCTCCTGTGTCTTACACTCGCTGAGGTATGCATTCTCCCTTACGATCTAATGACCCTTACTTATGACTTGTACCACAGACTCTGTGTCTTTAGGTACAGCTAATGTATAGCTCCTGTGTCTTACACTCGCTGAGACTCTGTGTCTTTAGGTGATCGCTACTGGTCGTATCTCCACTGCGCAATATTATCTGCGACAGGTTATGGGCCCCGCCTGAACCACTAGCGGCAAATCAAGAAACATCGAACTACTCCCTTTACTAAGGCGAGTATCTTTCACTCGTTCAGCCCTTCTAGAGCGCCGTCTTTGTGCGCTCGTCCCACTTGCTGGATGTCGGTCCTCGCATTTGTGCTCTCACCCTCAAGGGGTTACGCGAGCGGCGTCAGGGAGTCATTCAGTTGGCAGACGCGCCGTTAGCTATTCCGTCCATGATTGCTCGCGCGCGTTTTACGTTACATCTTTTTATTGTACAGCGGACATACCCACCAGGCACTGGTCCTTTGGTCAATCCCACTCCTGAACCTTGCGCGAAGCGCCTAGGTGGTGTGGTAGCTCTCAACAGCTGCTGGAGGTCAATCCCTCCGCCAGGCAAAACAATCCTTCGGGGTTGACTCGCATTCCTCACAAGGGACCCTGCGGGCTGGTGACACTACGAGGATTCATGCAATGACGCTCTGCGTGTATGCATGTCTTTAAAAGGGAGAAGATGGGCGGCCAAACCCGGTGCTTGGGACGGCCTTGGGCACGTGTCCCTTGGCCAGTGACGGACTGCGAGGGCAGTAATCACCGTCGGGTACTGCCGCCGCTGACGTATATAGTTACGTTACTTTGATACAAATATGGGCACTTACTATACCGCTTTATTTCGTTATCATTCCCCGCGCGTATATGGGCATCATGGATGGGATGGGGACGCTTGGTCGTTCCCGTTTCAGAGATTTGGCACTTGGGATTTTGTTTCTTGGTCTGCAGAGAATCTGGGGCTGACTTCGTCGCTCTAGTCTTCATCTCTATCACCCTGTCATCACCGAACGATCCTCCTGTTGGGGTTATCCTATACCCTGTTAACTCTTGGACGACTTTCGGACACTCCTATCTTCCCATCGAATCCATCACCGGTGACATCTATCGGGTTGGTGATATCGACAATCAGAACAGCGATCAGGCGCAAGGAAATTTCACCGTCGCGCTTCGTCTTCTGTTTGGAGATCCTCCATACGTCGAACCCACTCTTCTCCACCATCACATCGCCGACGTCATCGAATTTCTTCCCACAATGTCCGGGATAGAAAAGCTCAACAATTCCATCCTGAGCGTCTTTGACGGCACAAACTGGAACACATGGTCGGACAACTATATGAGCATATGCATGCATCAGGGCACTTGGGGGGTTGTGAAACCCTCTTATATCATGGTTAACGGCACACCAGCTGCAAACATCGGTGCAGTCGAACGTCCTTCAACTGCTGGGGACTCCCAAAATCAATGGGACGTTGCCAATGAAAAGGCACTGGGTCTTGCGCGGGTTTATATTACCCAAAATCTGCGCAAGGGAATCTTTATGGACGGTCAGCGGGAGCGCACTGCGCGCGAAGTTTGGGCGAAAATGGCGACGGATTATGGCCAGCCAAATGCCATTGATGCTTTCGTCGAGTACCGCCTCCTGAACACCACCACCTTCCATGGTGGTGACACCATTGAGAAGCAAATCATGGAAATGGAGACTCGTCGTCGCCAGTGTTCGGAAGGAGGAATCGAGATCCCCGACTACCTCTTCGCAACTCTCATGCTCGCCGCCTTACCCGCTTCCAGCAGAGGTTTCGTCACCTCTTATCTGGCCAATCGTCCTATTGCTTCCTTGAACCCAGTCGATGTCAAGAACAGCGTCATAGGGAATATCAAGATCAAGAACCTCGACACGACGTCGAACTCGAAGATTTCCACCGTTCCGTCCCTCGCCACCCGCTGCACTCATTGTAACAAGTCCGGTCACGTTGCGGCATCCTGCTACAAGAAGTATCCCAACCTCAAGCCTACTGGTCAATCTTCTGACAAAGGCAAGGGGAAGCAGGATGAGGGGAAGAAGAAAAAGAAGAAGGAGAAGAAGAATAGTGGTGATGGTACCAGCACTGTAAACAACAAAGAGGTTGTAGCCGCTCCCGCGGTTGCAGCTTCTTCTTCTAATGGAATGCACTTCTCGTCCTATTTCATGAGTGACTCCCTCCAACACAACGATGATGGAATTTTTGTTGAAGAAATGGGAGACGACTCTAAAGTTCGTTTTCTATGGGATTCGGGTTGTACACATCATATGACAAACACCCGATCCGATCTTCACAACATCAGACCTATCGACACCTATGTAGTCGTTGGGTCGGGAGCTCGCTTCAAGAATGAAGCCATTGGAGATATTGTGTTGCGGGGTCATACTAGTAGTGGCATGGACTACACCTTCACGCTGAAGGATGTCATCTACAACCCGCACATAAGAGGGCGCTATCTTTCTGGGTATGCGCTCGATCAGGCTGGTTACTACACCGTGGTTGGTGACAACAAGGCAATCCTAGTCACCAAGGATTGGCTCAACAAGGGAAAAGCGCATGGGGATGTCTTGATGACCTTTAAAGCAAGCAATCGCTGCTACTGGTACTACCCCGAGGAGCTCGTGGCACCATCTGTGTCTGCATCTCACGAGTCTACCGCGCTCGCTTCCCTGGAAACTACCGATCGTGAATTGTGGCATAAGTGTTTTGGTCATGCGGCTCGGAGAACCCTTACTCACTTGCCGACACAAGTTGAAGGTGTTCCACCCTTGCGACGCAATAAAGACCAGCGCGGCATGTGCGATGGATGTATGCTTGGAAAACAGCACAAGCATCCGTACCCTGCATCAGAGAAACGTGCTAGCAAACCCCTCGAGCTTATCCACACTGATTTGATGGGCCCCTGGCCTACTCAGTCGTTGGAAGGTTCACGCTACACAATTTCGTTCTAAGACGATTTCTCGAGCTTTGGCATGATGGTGTTCATTAAATCAAAGGACCAAGCCTCTACCGCGATTAAAAACTTTGTTGCCCTTGTAGAGCGTCAGCTCGGCACAAAAGTACTGGCCTTCCGGTCAGATCGTGGAGGCGAATATATGTCCGATGAACTCACAGCCTGGCTCAATGCACGTGGTATTATGCACCCTAAGTCCGCGCCACGCGAACCACAACAAAATGGGAGGTCTGAACGTTGGAATCGCACAGCCTACGAGAAAGCGGAATGCATGCGCCTCGATGCCGGCCTATCCAAAGGCTTCTGGCAATGTGCTATGGATGCATCTGTCCACGTTCATAATAGACAACCTATGGCACGATTGGGATGGCAAACACCTGCGGAACTGTGGCTTGGAAAGAAGCCAGACGTCTCTTATTTCCGTGTGTTTGGATGCAAGGCGTCTCTCTATGTGGATGTTGAAAAACGCCCGAAAGGGTTGGAGCATGGACGCCCCGACCACATCTTCGTTGGATACGAACGAGAGACAAAAGCTTGGAAAGTGTGGGATCCGAATCAACGCAAGATACGAATCTCTTCAAACGTCGAGTTCGATGAGCGAGTATTCCCTGCCAAGTCCAAGCTAGTCACCGGCAATGTGTCCTCTGGACCGGAGCCGTTCACACCATTCGAGGAAACCTTCCCTGACCTTATCAATAATCCTGCACCTGCAACGCCTTATGCAAGCATACCACCTCCTGCTCTCCCACCGCCACCGGCACCCCTCGCGCAACAAGGTCCTGTCACGGGATCGCGAGAAGTACCCATAATGCCTGGCCCGATAGACGATCGCCCGATTGCCCATCGCCGCACTCGTCGGAATAAGCCCCGCATTATGCCAGATGGAACTACGTATCAGAGGCCTAGCAGCATTGAGTCCATGTTATCAGCTGCCCAAGCTGAGCATGACTTGCCTCAAAACGTACGGGACGTAGCAAAGAGCCCGGATGCACTCAAGTGGGAGCGCGCAATGCGCGAAGAACTGGACTCTCTCGAGGAAAACTGTACTTGGGATTTGACCAGCCTTCCACACGGTCGAAAGACTGTCAAATGCAGATGGGTGTTTAGCAGGAAGCGTGACGGTCGTTTCAAAGCACGACTTGTTGCCAAGGGATTCACTCAGGTTCACGGGTTTGACTATGATGAGACCTTCTCGCCAGTATTGCGCTACGAATCTTTGCGCATACTTATGGCTCTGGCTGCTCTCGAAGATTGGGAGATTCATGCCATGGATGTCAAAACGGCATTCCTAAACGGGGATCTGGAGGAAGAAATCTATATGGAACTTCCGGAATTACCCAAAGGTTTCTCGTCATGGCCAAAAGAAAAGGTGGCACGCCTTCGTAAATCACTCTATGGGTTGAAACAGGCGTCTCGTCAGTGGAATATCAAAATCCACAATGCCCTCCTCGAACTTGGTTTTGCTCGGACATACTCCGACGCCGGTGTCTACACATATCGCCAACAAATGGGAGATACGGTCATCATCTTGGTGCTGTATGTTGACGATATGCTCATTATGGGCAACAATCTGCCGGAGATAGCGCGGATCAAATCAATGCTCGCGAACCGCTTCAAAATGACAGATCTTGGTCCTGCAAAAGATTTCCTTGGTCTGAACATAGTTCGTGATCGCAAAGCGCGTAAAATCTGGATCGATCAGGCTTCCTATATCGAAGGAGTTCTAGAACGTTTCCGGATGTCTTCTTGCAAAGAAGCTCGTACTCCCCTGCCTTCCGGCATCGTGCTCGAGAAGCATGATGGAGAAGTTGATGGAGACCGTCGCACCCGATACCAGCAACTGATTGGCAGCCTTCTATACGCCATGCTTGGTACTCGCCCCGACATTGCCTATGCAGTCATCCGTCTATCAAAGTTCAACAGCAACCCGTCAGAACATCATTGGAACATGGCAAAATATATACTCCGGTACCTTCAGGGCACCAAAAACTACCAACTTTGCTATGATGGTTCCACTGGCGCAGGCCTTATCGGTTATTCCGATGCTGATTGGGCGGAGAACAAAGACGACAGGCATTCAACCACGGGATATTCCTTCTTCATCGCCGGTTGTGCAGTGACCTGGGTCTCTAGACGCCAACCCACGGTCGCTTTGTCCTCAACAGAGGCCGAATACATGGCTCTGAGCGATGCTACGCGCCAGATTGCCTGGATCCGCACTTTGTTGACTGAGCTCGGATATGACTTGCCATCCACGCCTCTTTGTGTTGATAACCAAGGCGCTATTTTTATGGCAGTAAATCCAGTTCATGATAGGAGGACAAAGCACATCGACATCCGCTATCACTTCGTACGAGAATCCGTCAAAGCTGGCAATGTCCAACTTTACCATGTGCCGACTGATGCGATGATCTCTGACACGCTCACAAAGTCTTTGGCATGGGTGAAGTTCCAACAACATCGGCTGTCTTTGGGTCTTTGTGATCCGACTGTTTAGTCGAGTGGGAGTGTTGAAGCTTGTTTGTATTAGCGACTATCACAGTATGTAGACATGACATCATAAGTAGTATTCTTAGATTACTTTGGCTCGCTCCACAATGACCTCATATCTGACCTCATTATTGCGTCATCCATTACTCATCTATGATATCATTACTCCACTATGACATCATGATATCTGCTCCAGACTGGTATATAAACCTAGTACTATACGCTCCATATCCTCAGCTCCTGTGTCTTACACTCGCTGAGGTATGCATTCTCCCTTACGATCTAATGACCCTTACTTATGACTTGTACCACAGACTCTGTGTCTTTAGGTACAGCTAATGTATAGCTCCTGTGTCTTACACTCGCTGAGACTCTGTGTCTTTAGGTGATCGCTACTGGTCGTATCTCCACTGCGCGATATTATCTGCGACATAAGTCTCATCCCTCAATGCAACCCCATTGATTGAACAAACCTAGTAGTAATTATAATGCTCAACTATCTCCAACTACACGAGTTCAACATTGTCAACGACCATTTCATCGTCTCCGACACTACTACCTGCCCAAGCACCTTCACCTTTGCTTTCCTCACCACTGGCTGCGTTTACCGTAGGTCCAACCACAGCACCTCCATCGAAGAGACCGAGACTGCGGGTTCCAGCCTGGGCATCAACAACAGCAGCCAGGGATGGGTTCGGGGTCCAGTTAGCGGCTTGGGCCATAGCAGCCAATTCCGCCATAATGTGCGTATTCATCGAGTGCAGATAATAGCGTTCGTTTCGCTTAGCTTCCTCCAGCATTGAGTTGACATACTCAATCGACCGTTCGATTATAGTTGTGTGAATGCGGATGTCGTATTCCAGTGTGTCGTAGCGTTCGTCTCCAACCACAAAATAGTCATCCACGGTGAGACGTGTCATCTTGTGCAATCTCTGTGAAACGAATTCACGAAGACGTGGCCCAAAGATCTCCCCATTCAACATTTCACGCACCGCCTCCTTGGGATCCACATCAACGAGTGAAGATGTGCTCGGCTCATATCTCTTCTCCTCCACGATCTCCCACTGCCTGTTCCACATGTGCTCTTCCAGAGCGCGCTTGGCATGACAACCACAATTTGGAATTCCAGTTTCTTCGAAGCTGCATGTATCATCGGGGATTGCGACCACGCCAACCAGCCTGTGGCTACATTCCGGACTCCCGTCATAGATGTGATCTATGTCCACCGTCTTCATCTTCCCGTTCCAGTGTGATGGGCACTTGTGCAAGTGCGGTTTGTAAGTGGGCGGTTCCTTGCTGTCATCTGAGTCCAGCTTCCCCTTTGTTGATGTCAGGTATTTGCGAATGCAATCGGCACTTCTGGGCACAAGATCTGGCAGGAAATTGGTACGAGGCTCGCGGAACAGCTTCCGGATAGTCGGTGAGATAGATGTCCTATTCTGCTCAAATGCCAAGGTCTCAGCGCGTCCCTGTTCTAATGAATATCAGATTTTGTCTCTGTCTCTCCAATGAGATACAACTCACCTTCCAAACTGTCCACATATTGCTCTGCCGTTTGGCCTTCTGGAAATACCAGCTTGGAGTCTGTCCTGTAAACGGCCTTTCCAAGCCCAAATTTTCCTTCAACGTTCTTGGGCAGCGCTGTGGCTGAAATGCGGTGAGTAATAGGTTAAGCAATCACGAAAGCAAAACTGACATTCAGGTTTCTGGGCTTCCTCCCCCTCTCCCTCTCCCTCTTGAACCTTGCCCTTGCGCTTGCGCTTGCCTTTTTTGCCGGATTTCTTGAGTGCTTCATCTTCGGTGGCACTTGTTGTTACCACCACTCCCTTCTCCTTCTCGGTAGCTGTGGCATTCTCAATAGCTGCCTTCTCCGCTGCAGCCTTCTCCACCACAGCTGCCTGGGCTGTATCAGCTGCCACCTTTTCAGCTTCAGCTGTCGGCTTCTCCATTCCTGCCTTCTCCGCCGCTGCAGTCTTCTCTGCTACCACCTTGGCTACGGAGTCACTGTCATCCACGTGGACATCCATGTCTGCATTGGGATCAGTGGCTGCCTTCTCCGCGGTAGCCTTCTCCACGGCAGCCTTCTCTGTGGCAGCCTTGTCTGCCGCCTCCTTGTCTGCCTCCCTGTCCGCCGCCTTGTCTGCCTCCCTGTCTGCCTCCTTGTCCGCCTCCTTGTCCGCCTCCTTGTCCGCCTTGTCTGCGGCCGCCTCAGCTTCCGCCTTATCAGCTGTGGTCTTCTCCACCGCTGCCGCCGTCTCTGCTGCCACCTGGGCTGCGGCTGTGTCGCTATCATCCATCTGGACATCCATGTCTGCGATGGGATTCTGCGACACAGAAAACTCTACAAAGGTATTGGTTTGTTAGATTCAGCCATTCAGTAGGTGCACATACCGTTGTCGACATCCATATCCTGGACCTGATCAACTTTGTCAGAATTGTCCGCTGCCTTGAGGGCCTCTCTGGCAATTTCGACATTTGTTTTGGCCTCTTGGCACCGTTCCTCCGCTGCCAGAAATTCGCCCTCTAGTTTTTTCTGCTTTGCTGTCGAGTTAGACCATGAGTTTGGCATTGTAAATAGAAAGTCATGAATGTTACCTATCATTGCTTTTGCCCTGCGCTTGATTTTACTCTCAGGAATCCATTTTGCATTCACGTCGACAAATCTATCTGTAGCCTCTTTAAGTTCCCCTTCGGCTAGATGCATATCTATAGGTGTCGGTAAGTGATATGAGATTTAAAGGCATTTGTTTAAATACCATTAACAAGTTCCTCTCGGGAACGTGGTAGAGAAGCAGACATGGTGACTAAGTTGTAGCCAGCTTGATTTTCCTGATTTCTTAATGTACTCGATCGACAGTGTATCACGGTCACCTGATATGTCACAAGGTAGTCGCATCTTGTAATTGACCTCATGTCCTACGTGTATAGGTGAGAAGCGAGTCTTTGACCAGTGAAAATTGAACTTATTCTGTATTAATCAGCAGTTTACACGCCGGAATAGAACTCTGTTCGAGGCAAATATGGAGGATGGATCCAAAACTTATTTTAGACAAGATTTCAACTTTAGAGACTCCCGTATATTGTATTGCTATTGAGAGACATATTACACTAATGAAATAAGTAATCTTATGACTTACTGCTCAGCTGCACCACCCAAACTGGCACAGCGTGGAAAATACCTGAGTTGAAGCAGCAACAATATATACCATTTCTATAAGACCACAGCCACTTGATAATAATTTTGGATACATTGATATATTAAGGAAACGTCCAGGAGCAACATGTTAAAAATTTGAGAGTACTTGCTCAAGTACTAGGCCAAAATGACTGGTTTACTGTATTGATCACGAACTGATGTGTCCATTTAGAGCGGTGACCAAAAGTAGTATAACCTGATCACTGCTCTTTGTGTCTGACCGCTACGTCTGCTTGACAGAAATGGGTCGACCCAAGCTAGACCCGGAAATTAAGGCTATAAACCGTCGAGAAACACTTCGCAGATACTATAAGAAGTTTGTGGTGTTCTGAAGGTCATACCACAGCTAACTTTTGCTAGGAATCAATCCACTCTCCAAGAGAAAGGGCAGCTCAGAATGGAACTGCAAGTTAATTTCTCACCTCGTCTTATATTAACCAGATTTATACTGACTCTGCGATCTATCAGCCTTTGTGATAAACCTGAGACAAAGCAAGAACTCCGTGACCGGGCACGAAACTATTCTGCTAAATATCGTGAACGGTTGGCTCTATCTAATTAGTGGCCCAGAACAAGACCTCATGTGTCCATTCCCTCTAGCTTGCGTACCCATTCCTCGAACAATTCAGATGTGCTTCGGCAGCACTGCAGTTCACAGAAGTAAGTCCACCTCTTGGATTGGCACAGATCAAGTATAACGTCGCGTGCCTTAGGACCTCAAGCTCGGCTTAAGCTAGAAGTTTACAGCCTGTAGATTTGGATGATGATGCGGGCTTGAACCCAATCCGAGTCCGGGGCCCAAATCGTCCTCGTTCAAGCACAGTGTCGCACTCTGAGCGAAAACGTCGCAAGCTGGAGAACTGGACAGACCCAAGTGGGGGCCCAGCAACTTCTTCCTCGCAGCCATTGTCATTGGCCTGGACGCCGCAGGAAGGTCCGCCATTGAATTTGGATGATCTCTGTGACTGTTTCGACTCAATTTGGCGACGCTGTGCTAAGTGTATCTGCGTTGGATCCTGCCCAGGAATTGAATCATGGTGCTGGAAGCATCATGACTGAAGGGAATTGGAATCAGTAAACATATGTTAGAGGACTCGAAGAATGTAACTGAATACAAGAGATAATTAGTCTACTTGTTGCGACTTGCCATCCGCAACTGAATTTTGTAAGACTCGAGTTCCAATTCTTTTGCACGAAGAACTTCGGCTTGCATCTCGGCGCGTTTCTCTGCCTCCTCCTGCGCAGCTCTCGATTCATCCAATGCTGCCCTCGATTCATCCAGTGCTACCGTGACTTGATGCTCCTTCTCCTTGGCTGCCGTAAGTTGCTTGTGCAGTTCCTTCGTTGATTCATTGCGAGCGGCCATGAGGGTCTTGAACAGTTTGCTGAAATCATTAGTGATGCGGTTCATATCCTCTTTAGCTTCCTTCAATAAAGCCGGCAATGTGTAGTGCAAAAACGGATCGGTTGCAAATCGATGCTGCACCGAAAGATGCACCCAGCTTCCAGTCTCATTAGATAGACGTTCACACTGGAATAGCATCAGCATTTGGTACACATAGCAAACAGAGGGCATACACGTTCAATGAGATCATGGCTCAGACGCAGAAAGCGAGCACTAATCTCCTTTTTACCCTCTGCCTTTTCACGAAGAGCTTTGTTTCGCAGAATTGCTGTACAAATGAGCAACTGTAAAGGGCGGTAGGAATACAAGACACACACCTAAATGCTTTGCTCCTTGCATAGCACCCTGGACTTCACCAAAAACAGGGTTCTTCCTTGTCACGCGTGCACGAGCCTTCCTACTGGGAGCCGAGGATTGCGAAACTCGAGTCGGTGTTTCCAGGGCAGTGTCAGAGAACACTGTACTGTCGGACTCGCGAGTCGGAGACGAATTGGGCAGAGGACTGCTGCCGCCATCGAATTGCGTCTTGAATGGGAGGTAAGAATGAGAAGCAGTGATTAGAAGAATGTAAACGTGCAGGAAAGACCCATTGTGAGACAGCCGACTGTTTCCACGTTGGAATTGGTGTATGGTTGGGGTATTGCTGTGTACGTTGTGTCTGAGGCGTTTGAGTCAGAAGGTTACGGTACACGAGCGGCAAGGACGAGATCTATAGTTTGTGTCAGGATGTACTGTGGGGTATAGAACCTCTCACTTGAGCAGCGGACTCCTCATTCCGTGAAAAGGTAGGCTCTGAGGACCTAGAATTCACCGCAGACGAGTCACCCATGCAAAGCTGATGGAGCAAAGAAATGGTGAGAGACTTGTAACGCACTTACCTTGAAATTGCAGTGAAGTCCCGCTGCCCTGCCCCTGCCGTTTCTCTTCCCTCATCAGAGTCTTCTCCTCACTGCTCATGGACACTGACAATGAATCTGATGACGGCCCTATTGTCTTGGGAAGTCCACCGCCGTCACCACCAGCTTTGATACTCTTGAGCTCATTCCAATCACCTCCTAGTTGCCATGTTGCTCAGACCCCAACACGGAAGCGTCGGCGAGTTGAACAAGCACCTCGAAAATCCCGGGCCTATCCTCCAGTTTATGAGCAACCCGAATCTGAGCTCGATGTGTCTTGGGATCAAGCAGCAGACGAGCTTCTGCGGGGCAGTCAGCCAGAGTGGAACACACCATCACGGGCACGTTTTAACCTCGAGGATATCATGGCCTCCACTCCAAATGAGGCTACCAAGACGTGCGAGGAAACAAGCCTGGCAGGATACTCTGAATTTTGCGAGTTGATCTTGGAGGACGGAGGCGCCTTCTTTCAGATCACACGAGATCTGTTTGTTTCTAACGGATGGGATCCAGAGAGGAAGAGCTTGAAGGTGCGTTCACATGAGTATTGTAGAGGATGACTAGTTGACTTTTCTCAGGCGTCATGGAATCACCTGCAGCGTTCCGTAATTGGTGATGCTGAAGTCATTGTCTGTCAGTGCCCTCTCGCTCGAAACGACGACAACGGGCTTTGTGTGCACACTCGCTTCCTTCAGGAGGAAGGTCATGAACACTTTTCAGAGGTGGGTGTCGACGAGGAAGGTCTGTGATATTTAGTTCATACATCTTTTCCGCTCGCTCACACCAAATGGTGATTCAGATTCATCAGATGCGATTCTCTTCTCGCGACAAGAGACAGGAGAGGACACATGGCTCAATATCTTTTCCTGTCGCCCTCAAGCATCAAGCATTTTGAATGGTCGGGTCATCGTGCAGCATACGGGTGAGGATACTGGAGTTGGGTCTTGGTCCTGCTCGAAAGATAGCGGAATGATATCATGTGTTCACATACACAAGTGCAGAGATTTGTTGCGGAAATTGATAAGTACAGATCCCGGGGCAAGATATGAGGTTGAGGACGAGGCTGTCCACAATCATGCCAGTGAGTAATCCTGAATCATATCATTGCACATCCAAACTCGCTCCCTTAATCAGCTCACTGGACACATTTCAACCGACGAGGAACAACAGTTCAACGAGCTGTATCCTATCTCCCAGTACATGCGCCTTCTTGGGCTACCCTGCCATCGGATCCCATTCTGTATCAGCACACAAAGCCTGCACCACCACCGAGCCTCCTTCCTCTCACCGACACGTCCTCATGCTTGTGTTCTCAGCCACGACAGCGCTTCCTGAGCCACATCCCGCGGATTACCAACTCATGTATCATTTACGGACTGTCGTTGTCCTGGTCGACATCAATAGAGCTACAGAGGTGTCAAAACGCTCGCTGCTCTCACCGATTTGTAGGCCCCGATTGTCGGGAATTCGGTATATTCAACTACAACAATCAACGCCTCTTCACACACGAAGTCCTCGACGAATACACATCCGCATATACGTCCTCGGAGATGCCGTTTTCAGCCTGGGTATCTGTCATATCGCGGCGCTACAGTCTCAACGAAAGCCCGGATCCTTTCCCCAGTGCTGACACATTCCGTTCCGCATGGTTCCTTTATGTCTCTCTCCAGCATCTCGACGACAGTATGACATGTCCCCGTTGTGGTCCTAGCCCCGAAACCACGATCTGGGATGGTGTCACTCTTGCATTCAACAAGAAGCATCTACTTCCTACCCTTGAACCACCAACAGTCAGCCAGTCGACTTCCTACGAGCGGCATGCAACACGCTATCTGGCAAATCAGCAGCTGATACCCACTGCCAAGCTTCGACGTTCGATACGGGCAGTGCTTACCGGCCCCCATCTGACAAAGACAGAACTGGACAAACTCTTGTCATCTCTCCCAGCGGCGGAAAGTGAGGAGGAGGAGGAGGAGGAGGACAATGAGGACGAGATGGATGCAGAACCAGTCTTGAATCCTCGTGGGAAGAAGGGACTTGAGAAGGCACGGACTGCATTTGTGGGAAGGGTGGATATGATACCCATGGTTGTTGAGGGTCTCGGGCGAGTCGATGAAGCATTAGCAAGATTGTTCGATGTGCATTTTGGAGAACATACAGTTCTAAATTCTCAGCCTGCCGCGGATGTGTATCGGCGTTTTTTCATACAGGCGAGTTCTCTGTTCTTTTCCGTTGTCACAGTCTGATACAACAGCAAAGATTGCGGCCGAAGAGTCTGTGCTACAGTTTGCAACACACTCGGCACTTGAAACCTTGCAAAAATTCGTGGATCATCCAAGTCTTTCGACGGGTTCTGCATTGGCAGAGATCCCGGCCATTTACGAGCTCATTTCCCATGAACGTCGCATTTCCGACGACTTGCACCTAATCTGCCATTGGATGTTACGGAGAGGTCGCGCCATATTCAATGGCTTGCTGAAAGAGCCCTTCCACTTACCCACAACACGAGCCGGGGACGAAAAACCATGGACCGAGGTGAGTATTATGTTCCCTAAGCTGGCCGTTTCATACTGACTGGTTTCCAGACCGGCTGTCACTATGGCTTACCGAAGATCCGTGAACGTCCTCGATATCCCAAGCTCAAATATGACGCAAGCAATGAAGTCGGCGGAAAGCGAGGTGCGAAATGCTCCAAGTTCTACTCACAATACGGAGAACGGCGTCTGACGGGAGGCATCATGTGTGTCTGGTGTACCCATAGCGTCTGCTATGGCTTCCACTGCATTCCGAAGGGAGAAGGGCGAAACGATGTTTTTTCAGCACTAATCACTCGCTGGGAAACGGCCCCGAAGCAGGTCATCTATGACTTTGCCTGTGCACTTGGGCCATATTGCATGACTCGCGAACCGACATTCTTTGCAAACACTCAATTCCTCATTGACGACTTTCATTCTGTTGGCCACACCAAGTGCTCCGAAGCGGCGTTTCTCAAGACCTATTGTCGGGTGGATCCAAGACTTTCGCGAATCAACTCGAGTGCCGGGGAATGCGGGAACAGCGGTCTTGGCCGAATACGAAAGTCGGTCAGTTACATGTCTCAAAGCCGCGCCATCTTGTATACACGAGTTTTCTTGTGCATCTGGAATCGGTTACGCATTAGAAAGTTGACCGGATACAAGTAGTAAATGATAGTAGAACAAGTGGACTTTAATTGGAATAGCAAGTCAGTTACTTTGCTACGATGAGAATCCGCCCGAGAATTCGCTGAGTCTGGCAACGGCTGGACTTGGACAGCAGTCATCTGCTGGTAGCCCCAGAACCCAGCAAAATCCTGCCGAATAGTCTTGAAAAGGCACCAAGTAGCAACATTCCGGAGGATCGCGAATAAAAGAGGCCTTGAAGTGGGGGCTCCGGTGCTCAGTTGTGTGATGCGCCCAAATGCGTGCATGCCGAGGCCATTGTATGCCCGAGGCCCGCTTTGAGCCTCTCGGACATGGAAACAATGACGCGACGTGTAGGATGCCCAAGGATACCCGAGTCCCAATTTGAGCCTCTCTGGCACAGAGATCCTCCACTGTGCGACGAGTGCAGCGAAAAATCGCGGGCGGCGCACAAATGGGCGGAGGCGGCGGGAGTCTGCTGACGCATCAAACGGGGAGAGGGCAGCGAGAAGTCGCAGTGACGCTATGGCAGGAATAGGGCAGCGGGAATCCGGTGAGCGCGTCGGAAGGGGAGAGGGCAGCGAGAAATCGCGGGCGGCGCACAAATGGGCGGAGGCGGCGGGAGTCCGCTGACGCATCAAAAGGGGAGGGGGCAGCGAGAAGTCGCGGATGGCGTATCGTGGTCACAGAGCAGCGGGAGTCCGCCGAACGGGGTCAAAGGGGAGCAGGGCAGCGACAAATCGCTGCAGGGCTGATACTGTTCGCTAGCGGCGATAATCCGCCGAGTCCGCAGTGCCAGGCAGCGAGGACCCGCCGAGACCCGCGAAAATAGCCCATGAGAGTCAGCGAAGAGTCGCAGCAAGGTCTCAATAAGGAAGAATCAGCGGGCTCCGCCAAGAACATAGCCGGCTGACTCTATTTACAACCGTTTTCCGTACGCCTTTTTACAGTATACCATCATCGACTTAGGCCACGGTGTGTACGTGTATGATCATCAGTTGTTTGATAGTCACAATTCCTCGAAGGATCAGAAGTGCCTGTGGGATGTCACATGTGCTGCCTCGACAAGATGCTGTTGTGCTCTAGGTAGAACAGTTCGGTACAAAAAGAAATTCCCATAAATATTTACCCAGAATCTACAGAATTTACGTGCTGTTATGATGGCACTTTTCGATTCTAGCTTATTGACAAAAGTCAGATTAAAATCTCGAACAATAAGCGTGAAAGTCCAAATTTCCCGTACCTATGCATCTGACCAGCTTTTTCCCCTGATTTTTCCTTTACTAGAAAGTTCTTGCCTGTTCTCGCCTCGACCCCAAACCACTCATGGTTCTTGGGACCCGGATCTTACTACTGAAAAGAAGCAGATAACAGTCCGTGATCTGCACACAAGCCACCTCCCAGTGCTACTCGGTGATTCCATCGACCCCTCGCACTTCTTGAGCACGCTCTCTCCATCAATTCGCGAACATGAAACGCCTGAAGCATCCGGGGACAAAAGAAGCACCTGATCACCCTACAATGAGGAGTCACGCACCAACACTATTAATAGCGCCGACCGTCCCGGGAAAACTGTGGAGAGCTGATTAAGTGCCCACTCTGAATCCACATGACTTGAAAATGCTCGCCTGCGGTAGAACCCCGGCTCATACGCGAAAGGCAGCCGCCTGTGGCCAGACCTGAATTCTTGTTCAAGAAGGTTCGGTCAAGATCCCGCATTCTCGTCTCGGACGCGCGTATCTGCCCTACGTAAGAACTCGTTTTTTTAAGCTCTGGCAGCATGTGTACATGTAGGATTGCGGCTACATGCTTTCCCGGGCGATATGCGACTCCAGCTTGCATTTTGTTTCCAGGACAGTAATTCCAATCCGGTCGAGAGGGTCGATCGGAGTTTCAATCGCCGTAGCCAAAGCAGTGAATCCCCCGTCGCGAACGTTTGCTGACATGTTTGAACGTGAGCGCTGGAGAAACACAGCAATCATGACGGATTAATGATGTCATGTGTCCCAAGTACCGACTGACATTATGCAAGAGAAAAGGGGATTATGGATTCCAAGGAGGAGACGCGAGGGGACCTGATTCCACAGAATCCGAGTGAAGCCCGGCCACATCCCGGGGAAATCATGCTGCATCCCAGTCTGATCCCAGTGTCGAGGTGCGAGGCCTGGATCTTTGTTGAACACAGAACGATATTGTGCCAAGTATTCAGATCAAATCGGCCAAGAATCTACCCACATAGCGGTTAACCTTTTGGCGCATGAGCCGGGGTCCTCAGTTGGTACTTAGGTCACCCGATGCACGAGGATAACAGTGCCGAGGCCCACGTTCGGGATCGAGGTTCGCCAGTCTGAAAGTCCATCTTCGACCTCGCATGGCCCAACGCCGCAGGTCCCCGCCGTGCTTCTTCAATTACCTCGGGACCTACTACCCTTTTGTGCTGACCGCTCGAGGCTGAAGTAAACAACTGGCGAGATCACGCTCCTCGCGATCATGAGACGTTTTCCCGCATACTTCCAGACGAGACGTCGAACGGTTTTGCCGCGAGGGCGCATTCGGCGTCAATAGACCGACAGCCTCTCAACTCCCGTGTAGTTCAGCAATCTGTCTGTCTCCGCGACCCAAGCACAAGCAATTCATACAGATAGACTGATCTTGTAATCTTTCGCCCGAAGATCAAAGAAGCGTTTTTGGCGTGTGCTTAGCAACCGGCTCGAGTCTCATGACAACAGAGATATCTCAGGATCGGCAAGCCTGGACTTCCAACAGGCGAGGTAAGTATCTCATCGGTGGGGTGAATCGGCGCTCATCATTTGAGAGCGGGGACTCTAGAGTTATGGAGCAGAGCTGGGGGCAAGGCAGTTTACTCCAATAGTTGAGGGGCTTCTCAAGTAGGACTTGGATCACGAACCAGGGCTAATCAGGGCGGAGATCGTAATCATATCTGATTGTTTGGATCACCTGCCCTTGGCGTCCGGAGCTATCCGGACTCGAGCATTCCACGTGCGGCCTTGCTGGGTGAAATCTACGAATGACATACTACGAATCGCGAATATCCAACAGCTCGGACCCAGTCCACAGGTGACCACATGGGTGCGCGGCTCGCGTCGACGACGAATCGCTCCTCGCTGCCGGCCCGGGGGGTGCAGCGATAGTCGATATAAAATGGCTACCGCGACTGCGATTATCTCAGTTCTCTCGTCGCTCTCAGTCCAATGCCTTCCATCACCACTTTCCTTCAACTCTCTGCCCTCCTCGGCGTTGCGCTTGCTCTCCCGGGCAATCTGACGCTCGTCGAGAACGACAAGCGCGCGTCCTGCACGGTCAACAGCGTCGCCAGCGCTGCTAACTTGGGCAGCTGCACCAGCGTCGTCATCCAGGGCTTCACTGTCCCTGCTGGCAACACGATCACCATTGCTGTGTGTCTCGCCCTGAATTGCCTCGCGATTCATTCATCTGACGAGCGCTGTAGGCCGCCAAGGGCGCGACCGTGACCATGACCGGCGATGTCATCTTCGCGAAGACCTCGAGTACGCCGTTTCGACTCTCGGGCACGACAAATACTCATCCCCCCGCTCAGCTGCCGGCCCTCTCTTCACCTTCAACACCCCCGGCATCAACTTCAATGGTGGAGGTCACAAGATCAACGTAGGTCTTGGCCTCGCGCCTCAGGGGCCACTGTTGCATAGCTAAACTTTGATTTTAGGGGAACGGTGCCTCTTACTGGGATGGTCAGGGCACCAACGGTGGCTCATTCAAGCCTCACCCCTTCATCAAGTACGTGCACGGTTGATCCGATCCTGCCGAATCTCTAACCATTGCTCGATAGAGTCAAGGGCTACGGAACGATCCAGCAGTTCACTGTCCTCAACTCGCCGGCGCAGGCGATCTCTGTCGGAACCAGCGGTGGCACAACCACTATCTCGCATGTCACCGTCGACAACTGTGAGCAGCATACATCTTGCTTGTGCTCTCCCGCCTGCTGACTTTGGCCCCTCAGCGCTTGGTGACTCCAAGGGCGGCCACAACACTGACGCGTTCGATGTCAGCGCTGACGACGTCACGATCGCCTCGTGCACCGTCATGAACCAGGACGACTGCCTCGCCCTCAACTCTGGAAACAATGTCGTCTTCCAAGACAACTCCTGCGCCAACGGCCACGGAATCTCTATCGGCTCGATCGCCACTGGCAAGAGCGTCACCAACTTCAAGGCGCTGCGCAACACCGTCACCAACAGCTTGTACGGCATCCGCATCAAGGTCCAGGCGTCCGCCACTGGCGCCAAGGTCGCCGGTGCCCTCTACGACGGGTGAGTTGCACCGTCCCCTGCCCGCTCCAATGTCATCTGAGCCCCTCCCCCTCAGAAACAAGCTGTCTGGCATCACCTCTTACGGCGTCCTGATCACCCAGAGCTACCCCGCCAACAACGGCAAGCCCGGAACCGGAGGACCCATCACCGGCGTCCAGTTCAGCGGCGGTAAGACCACCGTCGCCGGCACCAGCAATGCTTACGGCCTCGTGATCGACTGCGGCGCCTGCACCGGCACCTGGGACTTCTCCGGTCTCGACATCACCTCCGCCGGCAAGGGCCACGTCCTCACCCTGGACAAGGCTAAGGTGAGTTTCATCCGGTCCTCATGCGCCTTGCACTGTAACTGATGAGCATCGGCCAGCTTTCCGGAGGCGTCTACTAAGTGTCTCATTCTCTCAGTCAAAACTACTTACCTTACTTGTATATCAAACACGGAAATCTATTGATCTGCTTCTCATAGCAGAGCCCAACTACGAATGCTGACCGAAGCCTGAGTGCGAGTAGACCATCTCAGTCTATATAAAATCATTGTTCCAGGTGGCTATGCGTAAGTTCCCCAACCGATCGTCAGAAGGGCTAGATCATCCAGCAACGGACGATCGATCGCCTGCTCGATACTTCTCACGTGCGAGGGTAGCTGGGAGATCGGCTCACCGCGGTCCTGAGATCCAAGCACCCTGTGACCACTCGGAAGGAATTTGAGTACCTGCGCAACAGATTGACGAGCCCAGTTTGGGATACAGCTCCTGGAGCATCGAGCCTGATGGTAGACACATGAGTTCAGTGCAAAGATTAACGCCGTCGGAATGCCTCGAGCTCGACCAGTCCCGGAATCGTCTCAGGGCTGCTGTCCCAAGTTCGCA